GCAGGCCCTGGCTTGACAGGCGTGACGTGAGCAGGCCCTGGCTTGACAGGTGTGACGTGAGCAGGACCTGGCTTGGCAGGTGTGATGTGAGCAAGCACTGGCTTGGCAGGTGTGATGTGAGCAGGCCCTGGCTTGACAGGCGTGACGTGAGCAGGCCCTGGCTTGACAGGTGTGACGTGAGCAGGACCTGGCTTGGCAGGTGTGATGTGAGCAAGCACTGGCTTGGCAGGTGTGATGTGAGCAGGCCCTGGCTTGACAGGCGTGACGTGAGCAGGCCCTGGCTTGACAGGTGTGACGTGAGCAGGCCCTGGCTTGACAGGTGTGACGTGAGCAGGCCCTGGCTTGACAGGTGTGACGTGAGCAGGCCCTGGCTTGACAGGTGTGACGTGAGCAGGCCCTGGCTTGACAGGTGTGACGTGAGCAGGACCTGGCTTGGCAGGTGTGATGTGAGCAAGCACTGGCTTGGCAGGTGTGATGTGAGCAGGCCCTGGCTTGACAGGCGTGACGTGAGCAGGCCCTGGCTTGACAGGTGTGACGTGAGCAGGACCTGGCTTGGCAGGTGTGATGTGAGCAAGCACTGGCTTGGCAGGTGTGATGTGAGCAGGCCCTGGCTTGACAGGCGTGACGTGAGCAGGCCCTGGCTTGACAGGTGTGACGTGAGCAGGACCTGGCTTGGCAGGTGTGATGTGAGCAAGCACTGGCTTGGCAGGTGTGATGTGAGCAGGCCCTGGCTTGACAGGCGTGACGTGAGCAGGCCCTGGCTTGACAGGTGTGACGTGAGCAGGACCTGGCTTGGCAGGTGTGATGTGAGCAAGCACTGGCTTGGCAGGTGTGATGTGAGCAGGCCCTGGCTTGACAGGCGGTAATATTAGGCCTATTATATTAATAGGGAAGGGGGGCCCAAAAATTAGTTTTGCCTATGTCACGAAAAGAGGTAAATCCAGCCGTTTATATGGTTAGAAAATAGTAAAGTTTATAAAAAGATTACTGTTGCTGTTGTTTATAATCTTTGGTGAAAGTCAGTTTGATTTCTAAAGCAAGACACAATAGTTTAGAAACTTCAGTGGGGGAAAAAATGTGGCATTCATGCTGTAGGCAACATCAGAAAATCATAACTTCAGTTGTATCTTACATTTTAAACATGAGCTTTAAACACTCTGATAATATTTAACTTCAAATGGTGATAGTAACATTTAAACTTGTATTATTGTTGCTGCTACATGTCGTTGCTTCAAACAGGAATTATACTTAGGGGAAACTTGCATGGCAGCCATGGCATGACGAGGCTCTGGCGTGGCAGCCATCTTGTCCGGGGACTCAGGTGTGACGTGAGCAGGCCCTGGCTTGACAGGTGTGACGTGAACAGGACCAGGCTTGGCAGGTGTGACGTGAGCAGGACCTGGCTTGGCAGGCGTGATGTGAGCAAGCACTGGCTTGGCAGGTGTGATGTGAGCAGGCCCTGGCTTGACAGGTGTGACGTGAGCAGGACCTGGCTTGGCAGGTGTGATGTGAGCAAGCACTGGCTTGGCAGGTGTGATGTGAGCAGGCCCTGGCTTGACAGGTGTGACGTGAGCAGGACCTGGCTTGGCAGGTGTGATGTGAGCAAGCACTGGCTTGGCAGGTGTGATGTGAGCAGGCCCTGGCTTGACAGGCGTGACGTGAGCAGGCCCTGGCTTGACAGGTGTGACGTGAGCAGGACCTGGCTTGGCAGGTGTGATGTGAGCAAGCACTGGCTTGGCAGGTGTGATGTGAGCAGGCCCTGGCTTGACAGGCGTGACGTGAGCAGGCCCTGGCTTGACAGGTGTGACGTGAGCAGGACCTGGCTTGGCAGGTGTGATGTGAGCAAGCACTGGCTTGGCAGGTGTGATGTGAGCAGGCCCTGGCTTGACAGGCGTGACGTGAGCAGGCCCTGGCTTGACAGGTGTGACGTGAGCAGGCCCTGGCTTGACAGGTGTGACGTGAGCAGGCCCTGGCTTGACAGGTGTGACGTGAGCAGGCCCTGGCTTGACAGGTGTGACGTGAGCAGGCCCTGGCTTGACAGGTGTGACGTGAGCAGGACCTGGCTTGGCAGGTGTGATGTGAGCAAGCACTGGCTTGGCAGGTGTGATGTGAGCAGGCCCTGGCTTGACAGGCGTGACGTGAGCAGGCCCTGGCTTGACAGGTGTGACGTGAGCAGGACCTGGCTTGGCAGGTGTGATGTGAGCAAGCACTGGCTTGGCAGGTGTGATGTGAGCAGGCCCTGGCTTGACAGGCGTGACGTGAGCAGGCCCTGGCTTGACAGGTGTGACGTGAGCAGGACCTGGCTTGGCAGGTGTGATGTGAGCAAGCACTGGCTTGGCAGGTGTGATGTGAGCAGGCCCTGGCTTGACAGGCGTGACGTGAGCAGGCCCTGGCTTGACAGGTGTGACGTGAGCAGGACCTGGCTTGGCAGGTGTGATGTGAGCAAGCACTGGCTTGGCAGGTGTGATGTGAGCAGGCCCTGGCTTGACAGGCGTGACGTGAGCAGGCCCTGGCTTGACAGGTGTGACGTGAGCAGGACCTGGCTTGGCAGGTGTGATGTGAGCAAGCACTGGCTTGGCAGGTGTGATGTGAGCAGGCCCTGGCTTGACAGGCGTGACGTGAGCAGGCCCTGGCTTGACAGGTGTGACGTGAGCAGGACCTGGCTTGGCAGGTGTGATGTGAGCAAGCACTGGCTTGGCAGGTGTGATGTGAGCAGGCCCTGGCTTGACAGGCGTGACGTGAGCAGGCCCTGGCTTGACAGGTGTGACGTGAGCAGGACCTGGCTTGGCAGGTGTGATGTGAGCAAGCACTGGCTTGGCAGGTGTGATGTGAGCAGGCCCTGGCTTGACAGGCGTGACGTGAGCAGGCCCTGGCTTGACAGGTGTGACGTGAGCAGGACCTGGCTACCTGGCTTGGCAGGTGTGACGTGAGCAGGACCTGGCTTGGCAGGCGTGACGTGAGCAGGCCCTGGCTTGACAGGTGTGACGTGAGCAGGCCCTGGCTTGACAGGTGTGACGTGAGCAGGCCCAGGCTTGGCAGGTGTGACGTGAGCAGGACCTGGCTTGGCAGGCGCAGGCGTGACATGAACAGGCCCTGGCTTGGCAGGCATGACGGGACGAGACTCTGGAATGATGCCGTATTCCTCCTCGACGATGCCCACAGTAAATGCAGAGCCACTCATCCGCAAAGCAAAGGCAATATATTGTTCTAGAGTTCAGTGTGGGGTATGTGGTGGCATTAACTGAGAGATTTCCTTTGTGAGGCCAAAACGGAAAATGTCCTTGAAAGTAGTATCGTTGAAGTCCACTTGATAACATAGGCCACAGAAATCTTCCACATAGTCCTCGATGGCTTGGTTGCCTTGTCGAAGGCGCAATAAACAAGCTGCTGGGTTCATTGCAGTCTAGCTTTCTGTAACGAGGGACCCACTGAAGGCGAGTTTAAGAACCCAAGTGCAGCATTTATTGAACATAGAAGTGAAATACAAAATACAAACAAAAAAAGACCTGACTTGACTTGATTTAACAAAAACATAAACTCACCAAAAGATGATTACAGGAAACAAAGCTAGACAAGAGACAATGGGAACAAGAGGGCTATATATACCAAACAAAAGGGGGTCACATGACAAACCAACCAATGAACACATGACACATACAGCAAAGAAACCAATGGGAACAAGACACATGAACAAAAATCCCATGACAGGGTTAAAGGAAACATGACAGGAACCAACAAAACCCAAAACCAACTGTGACAACCATGTTGGATTTGTTAGGTTTTGTCAGTTCTAAACCTATTCTGAAACTCAAAGTTTGTTCGACTAACTTCATGTGACAGGCCACTGGTTTTTGTTCTGTTTTTGTCTTGGTTCTATATAAAAATAAAATAAAAATTTTCTCTGTTAAATAAAATAAAAAAAAATGCTTGAACGCTCTGAAGGTAATTTTTGCTGAATATACACAGATAATAGACACTATCTTTAGGACCATAAGCACTGGGTCATTCAACTGATATATATAACTGAAATATGTTTTATAGTTTTTCAGTATGATTTTATCAGAGCTGTTTATATGCTACATAACTACAATGACAAATCAGTCTGAGACAAATTATGTTTATATGGTTAGAAAATAGTTTATTTAAAAAAAAGATTACTGTTGTTGTTTATAATCTTTGGTGAAAGTCAGTTTTGATTTCTAAAGCGCTGAATATACACAGATAATAGACACTATCTTTAGGACCATAAGCACTGGGTCATTCAACTGATATATATATAACTGAAATATGTTTTATAGTTTTTCAGTATGATTTTATCAGAGCTGTTTATATGCTACATAACTACAATGACAAATCAGTCTGAGACAAATTATGTTTATATGGTTAGAAAATAGTTTATTTAAAAAAAAGATTACTGTTGTTGTTTATAATCTTTGGTGAAAGTCAGTTTTGATTTCTAAAGCAAGACACAATAGTTTAGAAACTTCAGTGGGGAAAAAATGTGGCATTCATGCTGTAGGCAACATCAGAAAATCATAACTTCAGTTGTATCTTACATTTTACACATGAGCTTTAAACACTCTGATAATATTTAACTTCAAATGGTGATAGTAACATTTAAACTAGTATTGTTTTGCTGCTACATGTCGTTGCTTCAAACAGGAATTATGTTGAAAGGCAATTGCTGCTTTCTTCTAACTTTAATCATAGGACTAACTTTAAGCATGAATGAATGAATGAATGAATGAATGAATGAATGAGCATAAGTCATGGCTGACTGGATATACATTGCAGGTACATTTCTTATAAATATATATAACATATATAAAATCATTACAGTGAATATATATTTATAAGAAACACACAAGATGTCACATATCTATCTTTTAGTTAAACACAGTTGATCTCTGACCGCCTGAAGATATGAGAGATAATATAAATGGTGTGTAAGAACCTCTGGAGGCCACTCCTTAAACACGTCAGTGCTCATTTAAAAGCAGAGAGTCGAGGATCAACAATTGTCAGAAAACGGTATGAAACCTACAATGAACCAGCCAGACACCAAATGTGTCTTGGTAAGTGTTACAACTGTTTATGTTTTTACCTTTTTCTTTTTTTTAAATGTAATTGTCAACTACAATTTAGTATAAATATATTTATGCAGAAAGTATAAAATAGGAAGTGTTAGACAGTCTTTAGTTGTTGGATTAATGAAAAATGATTGAAACAATACGATACAGTTATTAACCAGTAACAAGCATTTAAATACAATCGTTTCACTCTGGAATGACTGTTTTTGGTTTCCAAAACTTTTTTTTATTATTATTGTTTTTATCATTTCTTGTACTGTTCCTAATCCCTGATTTAGATACATGTAATTTGAGATTTACACTGAAAAGAAAATGATTCTCGTTAAAGCTCCAGGCAATATTTGTGGCTGCGTTTAGTACTCTATCTGTAGTAACATGCCCAGAGAAACATTTCCAACTTCAAGAATCGCTGTGCTGCTTGAACTGCCCAGAAGGTGAGTTCCACAGAGTAAATGGTAATAATAAATCTGAAAATGTAGGTCACCACTGTGAATGACTAAATAATCATACAATTCAAATCTACAGGTATGTATGTTGCCCAGAACTGCTCTGGAGGACCCATGAACTACGTTGGTGTGCTATGTAATCCATGCCGCAGATGTGAAGGTATGAAAAAATTACTTTCATTTTTGAAGATTTGAAATTCCTCTAATAACAATAAAACCTTTTTTTTTTCAAACTATAGAACTTGGAGAGATAACTGTGTCCCAGTGCACGCAGTTTTCAGACACACGGTGTGCCAGTAAGTATAACTACACTTTTTTTTTTTTTACCTTACACTTTTGTCCGTTTTTCATACAATATACAATTTCAGCTCTATTAATGTATGTTTTGCAACTTCTCTTGAAATGTTTCTTTAGTACAAATTGTTATGCAAATGTACAGTGCTCATAAAGAGACATGGTGGACAAATTATTTTGATGCTTTGCGTCTGCTCGCATAACATTTGCATTCATTCTAAAAGCATTTGTTAATATTGTGTTCCCCCAAGAAATGTTGAAATATAATTTTTCACATAATAAGGTTTGCACACTATAGGTAACTAAAGTAAAAGTATGACTTTCAATTAACTTCTCTATTAAACTGCTTAAGGGTGGGCTCGTAAAATCGTAAACCCTGATAACACATCATTTTTTTTCATGGCACTGATATACATTGCCTAATAGTAATTCTGGCTGAAATATGTTTGTCACTAGACCAAAACTTTAGGTATTGAATTTCATAATCACTGTAGATGAGGTGACTTGACTATTTGTCAAATTGCATGTATTCTTGTACATTTGTAGACAGACTACAATAAACCTACACTGTAAAAAATAAGTGTAATTTTAACTGTAAAATTTTGTAAAAACGCTACGGAAAAAAACTGTAAACAGATAACCTCGTAAGTTTATATTTTTCTGTTGTCCTCTTTGCTTTGCGAAAACCAAATTCATGGTAAAAGTTTCATTTCTAATACAATTGTAAACAAATCCTCAGGTATGGTTCCTCATCTGTGATAGCCGCTGTTTTCATGCTGGCTGTGATTGTGGCAGCCTGCTTCTTTTGCAGAATCAGTAAATCTGGTGAATCTGATGAAAGCTCTGCAGGTAAACAAATCATTTTCTCTTCATACTGGTCTGCTTTTTTTTTTTTTTTTTACATTAAACCAAGCAGCACTTTACACATTAATTAAATACTGACTGAATGTGTGTTAATTGTCTTTTTTAGGAGAACCATTCCACATTTCCGTATAAAAGATGCAGAGACAGTCTGAAGAAAATCTTAACTCGGGAAAAAGGTCAACATCAAGTATTGTATATTATCATTCAATGATTCAATAACATTAGAAATACTGCAATACAAAGTTGTTGTTTTTTTTAAATATTATTTAATGTATTATTTTATTTTATTCATTTTAATTTTAATTGTATTTAATTTTCTTTTTGGAAAAAAGTTCACAGGACCAATTCTCACTGCTAACTAACTTTTGAAGTCGAGTCACCTTTATTTATATAGTGCTTTAAACAATACAGATTGTGTCAAAGCAGCTTTACAGTGTTAAACATGAAAATAGTGTGTCAATGATTCAAACAAACTTCAATTCTGCTGTAAAGCAGCTTTACAGTAGTAAACAATAGTAAACTATTGTGTCTTTTGCCTTTTTAGTTTGTAAGGTATTTGTTAAGTTTATGTATAGGGTAGAATTAAGGGATCTAAAATGTGGACATGCAGAGTGGCATTAATGTGCTTTAATTACTAATAAACAACAGATATGCATGCTATGCTTGCTGATAAACAACTATTTAATAGTGAGAATTGGTCCTTGATATATGCATATGCTGCATATTTTTATTTTTTTTTATTTAAAAAAAAAAAGAAAGAAAATAACTATTTGGAATTTCTAAATTCTTATAGTATCTATAGTATCTATAGTATTTTTGTATCAGATATTTGTACTTTGATAAATTTGCTTTAAAAACAAACACCGATACCTACATAGCACTCTAAATGTAAATTTTATTTTTATTAATTTTATGTTGGGAATTGCACCTTGTATTAATTATGTTGTCACGAAATTGATAATGTTTCACCATACTGTCTTATGTTTGATTTGAAATTTTAACACAAGTTACTATGGATCTACAATGATTTAGCCCAACATTTTAACAATACAAAAGGAACTCTAATTGTGGACATTTGTTGTGTTGAAATTTCTGACTATAGAATACCTTATCTAAATCACCTTTTAAATGTTGATGACTGATTTTGATGACTGCCAAGACAAACATGAAGCTTACTATTTTAAGTCAGTCCTTGTGTGTTCATGTGTCTATATTTGTGTTGAGAATACTGTAGTTAACAGTGCTATAGGGGTCCTTAAATGCACAAATGTTACATTTTGACCGTATATAAAGCGTGTAAAAAATCATGGAACTCATGGAGTGCTCTGCTAATGTTAAACCAGTGTTAACCTCCTGACTACCAGCTATGGAGTTTTGTCCTCTGTAGAGGACATTATGTTTTAGTGATTTCTCTGAGACGTTACATGTCACAGTAAAAAACTTTTTCAAATTTGTTCTTATGCTCTAAACAATGTAATGACATGACAAAATACTAAATTCACAAAACTTTTTTTTCCTGGTAGTCAGGAGGTTTTAAATAAAGATGACATACAAAATGTGCAGTGCTGTGGGCCCCATGACAAGAGTTGAAAAATACTGGTTTATTATAGACAGAGTCAGGATGATGAAGTATTGATTAAGTATTCAACAGCCAATTAAGGTAGGTATTCTTCAGCAAATCAAGGTATCGAACTATTGATAAAATGTTTACAGCCTTGAATGCATTAATGCAATGCAAATTGCTTTGAATAAAGGTGTCTGCTAAAAGCAAAAGTGAAAATTATCAAAGAAGGTTAGAAACGAATTAAAATTATATAAAAATAATTTATTAAAATATACCACTAAGTTACACCTCCCGTGGTTATATTTCAGAAGGGAGTCACATTGAGTTATGGTTTATGTTACCTGATTGAGTCATGTCTTGCCACTGTTGCATTGGCTTGCTTTTTTTGGTGTCTAAAAGACACTTGACATTCAGCAATATCATTGATTGATTAACTGCACTCTCAGATGAGAACAAAACTTGAACTGAATTGAGCTGAATAACGACACACATATTTTGATTCTGCTTTATAGCTGAATCAATTTTTTTTCATATTCATGAATTTTGCAACATCGATACTGTTATTGAACTTAACTGAACTGAACTTATTTATTTCAAAGTGGCTTAACTTTACACAGCTATTGAATTGAACTAAACCAACACTGGAGCTGAATAATGACACTATCGTTACAGGGTACAAAAGCTGTGACTGTAGCAGTACCTTTTCAAAAGGTACTAATATGTACTTTTAAGTTAGTTATAAGTACCCTTTAGTGGTAAATAAGGTAACAAAGTTGTACAAAGGTACCACCCCAATGACAGCTTTTGTACCTTTTTTTTTTTTCTTTTTTCTCAGAGTATACCAGAAAACAACCTCTATTATATAAAGCGCTATAAAAATAAAGGACTTGACTTATGAAAATCTGACCTATCATGCTATATTTGTGTCATTGTAGTTTATGTTTATGGTTAAGCTTAGGATTGTGGGTTAGTTTAAACAATTGGTAGGTCATGCTGAGCTGGTAGATGTTTTTAGAACACGTATTACTGTCTTTCACTGTTTTCATTTAGAAGATGAAAGAGAATCACTTGATTAGTGAACACATCTGAAGCATATAGCCTCCTTACTGTACAAAATAAGTTTTGAAAATAAAATAAAACATTATGCAAATGCAGTCTGTTAAAAAGTAATAGTCTTTCTCAAAACAATAAATATAAACTAGATAATTGTTTAATTTTTTTTTTTTTTTGGATAATTGCATTGAATATTTAAATAATGCTCATAAATGGCTGTTGAATCAGAATCAGAATCAGAAGAGCTTTATTACCAAGTATGTTTACACACACAAGGAATTTGACTTGACACATGAGTTAACAAGAGGATTCTCCCCAAGCCGTCAAAACTGATGTCATCACAGCGAGAACGTTATTCCAGAGCAGAAGCCAATTTTCAGTTTTTGATTAAAGATTACGACGGCAGACCTTTTTTTTTCCAGTGTATTGACTTGTCCATTAATTATTTCAAGGCAATCATTATTTCAAGCTTATTATTTCAAGCTTTGCAATTGGTTTAATCCAAGTCTTCTAAAAAGACACATTCGCTTTATATGATGAACAGGTTTTAATACAGGCTTTTATTTACATACATATAAATATTGATCAAATACCATTCAAAAAAATCTCAATCTTAAATATTTGCTCATTCTGTGTATTTGTGTCTTTAAAATAGGGTAACTTTGTTGCAAAAGCTTACAGCACAAGGAAGCTTGATTTCAAATTTGATTTATTTCTGAATTGAATTTAAAAAAAAGACAAGAACACATTCAGTAATAAAATTATAAAACAAATGACCTCAATTCTCTTGAGGTATCCGAAATATGACAACACTGAATTTTTATAAGCAGTGATTTAACAGTCATATGTGGTTTATGGATATTCAGACTCTGTAATTGACAGGAGGCGGATGCGTGTCAAACTCAGTCAGAGAGGAAAGAGCGAGACGCAGCTTGTAGTATTCAGTAGATAGCCAACTGTGGAAAATGAGTAATGGAACCGTGTCAGATATTTCAGTATCGGTATCAAAATATAGATATTTATGATAACACTACCATGTAGTTTGTTTCTCCAAACTTGGAGTCCATAAATGACGCTGAGCTCCCTCACTGTCTGATCATCTCTTCACCTGCTGCAGCGGCGGCTTTTCCCGGTTTAGATATCAGGGCTGTTATTGGTCCCTTCACGATCGGATGTCTTTATTGGCTACTGAAGTGCCATCAAAGGTTTGAATATCAATTCAAATTGTGAGCGTACTAAGTAACGAACTATGATTTAAAAGTAACGAAGTAGATTATTTTGCTTAATTTGTACTTAAGTACAAGTAAAAGTACAGCTTTAAAAATATACTCAAAAAAAGAACAAGTACCCAAAAAAACGACTTAATTACAGTAACGTGAGTAGTTGTAATTTGTTACCTCCACCACTGGAGTGGACATGTGCCGATTGGGGCGCAGACCACGTCTTCACGAGCTGTTCGTGGACATCGGGGAAGAAGTCGGCGGACGCCCTCGAATCAGCTTGCCGGCTAGAGGATCTAAAATACCAGGAGTCGAGCTTACTCTGGATTCCATTCTGAGAAGGAAATCTTTTAATTTCTACGCTGACGATACCCAGATTTATTTACCTATTAAGAGAAATGATCCTTCAGCACTTAGTACTTTACTAAGGTGCTTAGACGAGGTCAAAATCTGGCTAGATCAAAACATTTTGTCGTTAAATGAAGATAAAACCGAGGTGATTGTTTTCAGTCCTACTGATCATTCTCAGGTTACCAGCCTAGATCTGGGCAGCTTCTTCTCGTGTGCGAAATCTGGGTGTCCATCTTGATGAGTCATTAAAATTGGACAAGCATATCTCTTCTGTAATTGGTTCCAGTTTTTACCAACTACGCTTGCTGTCTAAAATCAAACACTTTTTAAATGCTACAACGTTAGAGATGGCTGTCCACGCCTTTATTACTTCACGCTTAGATTACGGCAACTCACTATATTGCGGTATTTCAAAGTCGCAAATGACTCGCCTACAATTGGTCCAAAATGCTGCTGCTAGATTTCTTCAAAATAGTCGCACATCATCCTATACTTCATCGTGATGAAGGGCCTATATTATCCTATATAATATAGGCCCTTCATTGGCTGCCTATTCAATTTAGAATTGATTTTAAAGTTATCTTACTGGTGTATAAATCTTTACATAGCCAAGCCCCTAGTTATCTCTCGGAGCTGTTGCATTTTTATACTCCCACTAGAAGTCTAAGATCCAGTGATCAGAATCTCCTTTTAGTTCCTCAGTCCAAACTTAAACGTAAAGGGGATCAAGCTTTTTCTGTGGTTGGGCCTCGGTTATGGAACAATCTGCCGCTTGAGATTAGAGTGGCATCTTCCCTATCTATGTTAAAGTCACTTTTGAAAACACACTTGTTTGATCTGGCCTACTAATATCCCGTTTTTATTGCATTGTATTATGGTCTTGATTATTACTTGTCTTCAGAATGTTTATCTGTCATTCCTTTTGGTTTTAAATTCATATGTTTTATTATTTCTGTTTTATGTGTTTATGGTTTGATTTTAATGTACAGCACTTTGGTCAGTCTTGTGGCTGTTTTTAAATGTGCTTTATAAATAAATTAACTTGAACTTCATAACACAAATGGCACAAGTTGTGCACTATAGTTTAATGTTTCGAATTAGGGATTTGAACAAAACTTGCCGTAAAGGAGCAATATTAATAGTGATGCTTGTCAAACATCACTTATAATGGGGAGATGTGTTCTAACATACTCTAAGCAAAGATTTTTGAGACCCTGTTTTTACAAGAAAAGGATGGGAAAATGCAATGGATAGTGTACAAAAATATGGATTGGTTTATTGGTCTTTTTCTTGGTGAGCTTAATATATTGATTTGAAAGCAACAAAAGGAAAGCACCACTGTGCATTTCAACCCTCATATAGAAAGTTTACACTTTACATATAGAAAGTGTCAGTCATCTCTTAAGTTACTGTTTGACTTGACTTGTTCAGTTAACTCATTTGCAAAGAACAGCAAGAAAGTAGATACTCCAGGAATAACACAAGAGCACGCACACACACACACACACACACACCCATTCAAAGCACACCTGCCAGGTGACACAATGCCTGGGTTCACTGGTGCGTATTGTCACATGATAACAGCTCCACCCCTTGTAAAGTCACATGGGACAAACTCCTACACAAGCACAAGGAGTGTCAGATATCACAGAGTTTTCTCTAGAATCAGGTGACACATTGAAAGCCTGTAGTTATTATTCATAATCAAAACGTGTTGGCTACATTAAGAAAAGACATTGAAGTCCAAAAACTCTGAAGACAGGAAGGACTGCATTTGAATTATAGAGGTGGGTCTGTACTCATTGACCTGTGATGAATGTAGATGATGTTCCAAAATGTGTTTTTCATGGACAAAAGAGGCAGCTGTTAAATTGACAAATTCATGAGATTATACTTTTGGTTTAAACACATTATTTGTCAGCTGTAAACAGATGTAGTAGTTGAAGAGGGAGTTTAGCAGCTGTTTTGTCTGCCGGAGCTCACCATGTCAGGTGAAGATCCAGTTTGACCACCAGACCTTTCTAAGAAGAAGGAAGTCTTTGTGACATGTCATATCCTAGTGTTGTTGAATGTCACAAAACCGGACAGACAAACATGCAAAAAAACAAACAAAAAAAAAACCTGTTGTTTTAAGAATATTATTTGGATTTATTTTTTATTATTTATTTTATTTTATTTATTTAGTTATTATATTTAATTAAGCACACAATGTGAGGTCATATCAATGATCTTATGAAGATTATTTCACTTTAACATTCATGTCAAATTCTTTCACTTGCCAAGTGCTAAAATACTTGTTTTTGTTTTATCATCTACATCAAAAAGTCTGAATTCTGAAAAAAAAATACTGAATAGCTTTTTGACTTCTTTCTTTCTTTCTTTCTTTCTTTCTTTCTTTCTTTTACTTGGTTATTATTGGTTTGTAAACCAAATGTCATAAACATATGGTTTAGAATTTGTATGTGTATTTGCAAGATTGTTTTTGTGCATAGAAAATTAAAGTTCATATTCACATGTAAACGTTTATAATTTGAATTCACCCAGATATGAAAATTCTGTCAACATTTACTTACCTTAATACCATTCCAAAAGCATACGACTTTTAAGATTATGATACAATATAAATAAGATATTTGAATATTAAAATATTCTCCAATCTTTTTTGTGCATACATTAAATGTTCACGCAACCAAAATGTTCATGCATACAAAAAGACATAGTAAATATTAATCAAGTGGTTTAATCCAAGTCTTCCAAAGAGGCACAATTGTTTTATTTGATGAGCAGATTTAATTTAGGCTTTTATTCATATAGGAACACTGGTCAATATACATACTGTACATAGGGCACATTAAATATGGTAAAAATATTTAAAAAGCTCAACTGTGCTTGTGATTGTGCTTCTTCAGAAGAGTTAGATTAAAGAGATGATTACTTTTAATATGTCTTATTGTAATTTTTGATGTTTGAAGTTTGGTTGCAAGATCTTTCAATGGAGGGACAGAAATCTAACAGGTTTCATGGAAATTATATTTCTGTTTTGAAGATGCACTAAAGTCTTATGGTTTTAAACAGGATTAAAGAGATGATTACTTTTAATATGTCTTATTGTAATTTTTTATGTTTGAAGTTTGGTTGCAAGATCTTTCAATGGAGGGACAGAAATCTAACAGGTTTCATGGAAATGATATTTCTGTTTTGAAGATGCACTAAAGTCTTATGGTTTTAAACAAACATGAGCATGGGTAAATAAAACGACACAATTTTAAGAGTAAGGTCACTATGCAATTACATTTGTAATTGCATGTGGGTACTGCAAATGTAACTATAATATTAACAAAATGTATGTACATAAAGTTTGCACATACATGTACTGTATATACATTAAACATTAAGTCCTTTAATTGTTTAGAGGTGGCAGCACAAGCACTGTCTGGAGGAGTTGTTTGGACACTGTCAGAAATTTTTTTTTTTTAAAAAGCTACCACTGGACCAGTACCCTTTCAAAAGGTATACCTTTGTACCTTATTTACCCCTAAAGGGTATATATTTAGTACCTAAATGGTACATATTAGTCCCTTTTGAAAAGGTACCATCCCACTGACAGCTTTGGTACTTTTTTTTTTTTTCTGGGAGTGTAGAAATATTTTGTTTGTTCCATCCTGGTTACTGTTTGATGCACATGACATCATATACTGGTATTCAGGTTGTTGTGTTTTTGATGATTCAGTGTTTAAGTCTTTGCTTTGTTTATGTCAATCATTGCTTAGGAAGTTTATCAAAGTGTACGATCAAAGGTCATTATTTGCAGCACTAAAGGAAATTTGACATCTGATATGCAAAATATGCAGTATATGTATATTTGAGACAAAAAGTAATCCACAATTTCCTTATAAAAGTTGTGATGGGTCCGTTTATAATTCTTAATCGAATTATTATTCAGTTTACTAAATCATTCCCATTCTCTCTCTCTCTCTCTCTCTCTCACTCTTATTATTTTGTGAGGATAAAAATTACTTTTGGTGTTTTATTCACTCTGTTCTTTGTTTGCCAAATTGTAGACTTTCATTTGTTGCTTTTCTTGGCCATTGCTTTAGACTGAGCAAGTGAGTAAGACTGGAAAGTATTTTCACTGCTTTGAAGCCAGGAAAGTCAGACATAAAATCACATAGAAAAAGTGCAGACAACAGAATATCAGGACACTGCATATATTAACAGCAGGACAAAACAATGAAAGGTAAATTTGGATGAATCACTTTCATGTTAGTAAAATAATAATAATAACAAGAACAACAATTTTTTCATGCACATATTCAATTTTTTATATGCATTAAGCCTGTTTTCTCATTTTTATTATCTTGAAACTATACCAATCAACAAATAGTTTTTAAAGTTTTACTATATGACGTATGTGTGTTTTAAATCTGTGTTGATATGATATGTTTAGTCAAATGTTTAGTCCGAAGGTCTCACCTCTCAGGTCAAAGTCCTCTGTGTCTCACTGTTAATAACCAATGTCCTCGTTGGTCTGGCTATGAATATGCAATTCACCCAATGATGGCTTTAGCTTGTGCTATGTGCAAGTAGCAGCTAAAATTAATGAAACAGTGAGGATTGGTAAATTGGGATTTGTACTAAAATCTATAGGACACTGGTCCTTCAGGACTAGGGTTAAAGAATGTTGTAATACAGTAATACATACATTTGTAATACATCTTTACAAATGTATTCTTTATCTAAAAAACAGAAATGATATTATGTGGTCAGTTATTTAAACATAAAAACTAAAAATCAATAATTTTACCTTTTTTAAATTTATTTAATGAAATTGGCAAAAGAAATGTGTTGGTATAGCTGTGTCAAAAATGGAAATGTGCCTCTGAAGATGCAGCATGTTGTCATAATATATATACTCCATATAATATAATGCATCAATTGTTATTATCAGGGTCGTGCAAAAAAATCCGAATAAAATCTCTTTCAATTAATTGGAGTTGGAATTTTAATTGAATTGGCCACACTCTACTGAAAGTTGAATTGGAATGTTAGGAAGAGTAATTTACTGAATTGTAATTCAAATAAATTTGAATTTAAAAACAGTTAATGCATCCTGGGTGTTCTTCTACCCTGGTCAACAAAACCATCTGTACTTAAGTCCTATTAACCTTCAGATCTCAAGGCTATTCAAAATTCTGTTCACTTTTAACTTAACTTTTAAACAAGGCTTTCTCAACATATAAGGTGTTCTGTTTGTAACCTCAGTTCTGTTTAAAATTCAGGAATAAAACTGAAATTCAAGTGGCTTCAGACACTTCAGATGTTTTCATGTAGCAACAGAAACACTTTTTATTCAGTACTTTATTGCTTTATATACCACCAGTATGTACAATAATAACAGAATGTGCCAACTGACAGCTCTCAAATCGCTCTTACTGTACTTTGACGGCATATGTCACAGTGATGTGGTGTTGGCGCCATCTCATCTCAGTGCATTGCACTGTTTCAAGTCAGAAGAAAATTGGTCTGTGCAGCAACACATGAAGTCAAACACACCTATAGGCTACACATATCAGATCATTTGGTGGTGCTAACATGTTAAAAAGCAGTACTAAAGACTAGATGTGTTTTGTGACATCAAGTCAAGTCAAGTCAAGTTTATTTGTACAGCGCTTTTCACGATACAAATCATTGCAAAGCAACTTTACAGCAAATTAAGTTTCTACAATATTTAGTGGTAGCTTATCAGTGGTGACTGTCAATTAATGTACATATGGCAGAAATGTACGGAAAAATCTATTTAAGACGTAATAAAACAGACGATGAACACTATTAACAGCAATTATTATATGATGCAAGCAAACTTATAGCAAAATGTGGTAGTTCTGTAAGTTGTTTCAGGGTTGGCATCATCTGAGGTCCTCTGAGGGGTTGGCATCATCTCTTCTCAGGTGTTCTGGATCCAGACTGAAGCTTGTGTAAATCATACATCCCGTGGCAAAAACAGACTGCATTTGAATTATAGAGGTGGGTCTGTATTCATTGACCTGTGATGAATGTAGATGATCTTCTAAAATGTGTTTTTCATTGACAAAAGAGGCAGCTGTTAAATTGACAAATTCATGAGATTATACTTTTGGTTTAAACACATTATTTGTCAGCTGTAAACAGATGTAGTAGTTGAAGAGGGAGTTTAGCAGCTGTTTTGTCTGCCGGAGCTCACCATGTCAGGTGAAGATCCAGTTTGACCACCAGACCTTTCTAAGAAGAAGGAAGTCTTTGTGACATGTCATATCCTAGTGTTGTTGAATGTCACAAAACCGGACAGACAAACATGCAAAAAAACAAACAAAAAAAAACCCTGTTGTTTTAAGAATATTATTTGGATTTATTTTTTATTATTTATTTTATTTTATTTATTTAGTTATTATATTTAATTAAGCACACAATGTGAGGTCATATCAATGATCTTATGAAGATTATTTCACTTTAACATTCATGTCAAATTCTTTCACTTGCCAAGTGCTAAAATACTTGTTTTTGTTTTATCATCTACATCAAAAAGTCTGAATTCTGAAAAAAAAATACTGAATAGCTTTTTGACTTCTTTCTTTCTTTCTTTCTTTCTTTCTTTCTTTCTTTCTTTCTTTCTTTCTTTCTTTCTTTCTTTCTTTCTTTCTTTCTTTCTTTCTTTCTTTCTTTCTTTCTTTCTTTCTTTCTTTCTTTCTTTCTTTCTTTCTTTCTTTCTTTCTTTCTTTCTTTCTTTCTTTCTTTCTTTCTTTCTTTCTTT